CACCTCATAAGAATGCCAACCACCAATCAACTACACTCCGAAGATTGTCTCAAGACCTAGCGGAGAAGCAGGAAGGTGCTCGATCACGTAGCAACACATGATAACCACAGCAGGGCTTAAGATGAGTAAATCCATAGCATACTTGCTTTTAGCGCTGCCCAAGGTAAAATAATGAGTATACAGCACCTACGTTTATCGGCTAAGAAAACACATTTCGTGGCGAGCCTCTTTTGAAAGTGATCTTAGGGGGCTTGTGCAGGAGGATCTCGAATGATCAAGGGGGCAGAGAAAACAGTAAATAAGCTAGCCAATGCACGGCCTAGTGCAGATATTATTTAACCGCTTCGATCTTACCTTCTTTCCGCAACCTCTCAATAGTTACATGATGCTACAAGTAGATGATACCAGTCAGGTTTGGCACGATTGCAAAACAAGTCTTTGCTGCCCTTGATGATCCAAAACGGAGAACGAACGAACATGAGTGTGCCTGATCCGCTTACCTTAACAGCATAAAGACCCCAGGAGTTTTCGATCAACACTACAGTCGTCTCTGAGATTTCATATTTCGGCGTACTAGATAATCAGGGATTCACCCATGTCGAGACTTATTGAAACACAGCCACAACACCTCACTAAGAGACTAACGTTTGAAGTTGGCTACACAGCGCAGCCGGTTAGATTACCGTCGGAACTTTCACGCCGTTCGTGCGTCCCAGCAGTATAACGTTCTTCCTCATGCTGTGATTCCTACATCTATCTTGGCTGAATTCGAAATTCGACTTGATGATGCATTACACTAATTACATTGCATAATTTAACCCATCCTTTGAACAGTGCAAAACGCAACCAAACTAGGAATAATGTGAATATGGTGGTAAGTCCACCCGTACGCTTTTCCTTGATAAAGCCAATTCGTGGTCTCAGCCCTTTTCAATTGAAATAGTTAAGCGTTTGCTTCGTTAGCCTTGGTAAATCCACTGTTCCACCTGTACTCTTCAATACACTAGTCAGTGCGTGCTTGATAGGTACAAATTTGAGTAAAATTACTTATCCGTCTCAACAGTAGACAACTTATGTAAGGTGAGTTCGAAAGGAGATGAATTGGATATTGCTTTCGCAGTTGCGAGCAGGTAGCGTAGCATCATCCCCACTTGTTTTAAGGTTATCTTGAGAAACACCGGGAAGTACAAAAAGACCCGAAGCTAGGTATCCTAAGGATAGTAGATAATAAAATAAGTAGTTTAAGCAAAATGTACGTTTATAGTAAGCTTCTGCCTTCCGAAGTAGGCTACGATTGATAGATACGCTTTCGGGAGTACGTAATCGTCCGATGCTGCGGATCTGTAAAAATTGCTCAAGCTAAGTATAGTAAGGCTCTGCAGACCTATGACTTAAAAGAAGACTGATTTTCCACCAGATCCATAAAAAAGACCAGGACACTAATTGCATGCGATAATAAATGGCCTGAATTTGTAGACTAAAGCAATATTTTGGTTTATATGCGGTGGCTGCATGCGTTAAGGGACTATATTGCAGCAAGTTACAGCTTTGCGCTCATCCTGGCCACGAATCTTTATTATATCTCTATGTCTGAAACATCCTATCAATAGCGTCTCCTTTCGAAACCTGCTGACTGAAAGTGGCAACAAAGATGCCTGTGGATGACGAACACCAGCACGGACGTTTTAGGGAGATTCTAACTACTGCTTTCCGAATAAAAGGCGCGTTTACTACTAAAAGAGTTGTAAACAAGTAATGTTTGCCTCAAGCACTCTTTTTTGTACACGTTAGCTCGAGGTGGGAAACAGCTCAGCTACTGTGCCGCCATAAATAGAAGCAAAAAAGGAGAAAAATTTGCAAATGGTGCAATCCACTTAAGCTACCGGTAACGGATGGGTATCGTTCCGATAAGCTACCAGCCGGTTACCGTGCATCAAAATACTATGCAAAATTATATAAGGCTAAATAATGCGATCGTAGTTGGAGGGGAGGCAAACAGGGATGGGGAGGGGCATAAAAACTCACAGCACAAAGGACCCTGAGGTGGATCCTAGCCATATCAACAGGTGTATCAAAGCATACATGTTCATAGTCTTTCGGAACCCAACCAGGGAGCCAAGAGGCTCCAACCTACGCCAGCTCCGAAGTGAGGACCTTCATTCCTCTGGACCAAGTCATCGCTTGGCCACCTTTCCTCTTCTTCCATTCACACCCCCGGCGCGCAAAAGACGCAAGTCGCGGGAGTCGGTGGGCTGACACGCGTAACCCGTGGCTAAGCTGTCGGAGTCTAGTGCGTGAAATAACGGTGCTGAGAGGTTCATTACCTTTTCCTGTACCGTAAAGAAGGAGTCGAACACGCTCGTTGCTCACGCAATGTTCCTACAGATGTGAGCCAAACTGCAAAGACTGTGGTGGTCGAACGTAACTAGCCTCTTTATGTCCGTTGATATAAGGGACTAGGTTTCACAACCGTACATTAGGGTTGAAAATATTGTTGCATTGTACACTCTACCCTTCAGGGCGAGAGTGATGTCGCGCCGGCGCCATAAATGGCGAAGGTTAACAAAAGCACTTTGAGCTTTTGCTATACGGTTCATGATCTCAGCTTCAATCTCACAGGCGCTGATACAACTTCCCAGGTAGTTGAATTTTAAACGACTTCACCACCAAGAGTCAGCGTATGAGGCAGTCCAGGTTAATCTTGGAGGAACACTTTGCACTTCGAGGGTGCGAAGCAAAGCCCGAAGTGACGTACAGCCAGTGCTAATCTGTCCAGTGCCGCTTGACACATCTGAGAACTTTCACAGATTAGGGCAATATCATATAAGTCGTTCATATAAGTCATATAAGTCATTCTCCTGGGCGCAGATCCACACCTTCTAAGTCATGTCCTGTGAACGCGATTTCCATGACTCCATCAAAAGCGAAGTTGAAGTGGAAAAGTGACCGGGAGTATTCTTGACTCACACCGCTGGAGATATTAAAGGGCGACGACAGCTTGCCGTAAGCCCTCACTCTGCCCGAGCCACGACCGTATAGTGCTCGGATAATATTTACATCTTTCACAGGTACACCTTTCCTGAGTAGACAGGCCCAACTGCACACCTATCCATCGAATCGATTACACCTTTGATATCGAGGAACATGACAACGGTGTGACGGTGCTCCAACAACTGACGCAAGGTTAAAATGTGGTCAATGCAGCCATGACCTCGACGAAATACAGCTTGCTCTTCACGAATCTAGCTTTCACGAGTGCCAGTCAGTCTGTGAAGGATGACAGAGACAAGCAATTTGGAGGCGACGGAGATCAGACTGATTCCTCTACGGCTGCCGCATTCCGATCGTGAGCCTCCTTTGACAATTGGGACTATGATGGAGCGGCTCCAATCGGTTGGGACGGTTTCCTGCTCCCATATTTTCACTAGTAACTAGTGTAAATCATCCACCAGAGCAGGTCCCTCGAATTTGAAGAGGGATGGAGGAAGATCTTCAGGTCCCGCGGCTTTATTTAACTTCAGTAGTTTGATCTCACGTTCAACTTCTGAGCGAGAGGATGGATCCAAAGGGACAGCCCACGGAGTAGAGCGATCAGTGGCCGGCGAATAATCTAACAATTCTGACCGACTGAATTACCTTCCAAAGTGCTCAGCCCAAAGCTCTAAGCGTTTTGATAATTTGTAGATATGCTGTTCACACTCGTGTCGCATAGTTTCATTAACACCAGGTCTCCTGCTGCCCGTTTCCGTATCAGACGGAATAACTTACGATGGTTAACAGTGGCAGCGGTCATTTCCATCTCTGATGCACAATGAAACCACCAGGATTCGCGGTCTCTCTTCAGGCTAGCACGGAGTTTTGCCTGGAACTCTTTGCGAGTTTCATTGTGTTCGCTTCCAGCCGGGATATGCCGGCGAGCATCGATAAGTTCCAGAGATTGCGAAGAGACCCAATGTTCATGTTGGCGATTAGACATACGACATGGGAAATTTCCTGCTGCTAGTAAGGTCTGGTGAATATGATAGCAGTGAGCGTTTATCCAACACACACAAGCACTCTAATATTTGAAGTTGGTCTTAAAGTAACAGCAGTATTGCATTGCATTAACCGGCGGACGCTGTTGGTTTGTAAGCGCCCAGCACCGTAAAAGATGGAAATAGCTGTATTGACAGAAAAGCTGAGCTGAAGGATTGTGATTAATTCCCGATGGCAGCTTAGTTAATACAACAACCAAAAACGCCTGATGCTTTTTCATTCCATTTGAACTGCTGCTGCTTAATGCTTCATTTCAGGCTGGGCGGAGGAAAAGGGACCAATACTTCTTTCTCTAAATATGCATGTTGGCTCCGATCAATGCCCACATTAATACCACAAATATTAACAGGCGTAATTACGTCTACTATCATAGTGGGTATAAGCAAATAATCACTGTGCCAAGTTATCATGTACTGGTCTTAGTGTAGCTTAATCAACAAATTGTGTCTATTGATATTTGAAACAAAGAGAACCTGAAGAACACAGTTGTGAGCTGTTGTCATGAATTTATACATTCTTATCTATCGTGAACATGCACCAATGATAAATAAACCAAAACAGTGCCATAGCGCTTGCGTTAACGGCACAGTCAGAGCTACAGTCAGCTGATTTGCAAGCGTAGCAGTGATCGTTCTCCATCGACAACGGTTGCCTCCAGAAATTGGGGCCAGTGATCGCGCATATGGAAGCTGAATGACATTCGGATTGACTTGACCCGTGGTTAATAATTGTCCTGTAACTGCAGAGGCAGCTCGGTTTCCGCTTCAACCTATTCCGTCGCCACAGACTCCATCCGCTTGTCTAACCATTTGGGGATGAGTTCTTCGATTATGGTACCTGGTATTTGACATTTCGGCAAACACCGGTTGATTTGCATGATTACTTCTTCTACCCGGACTTGTTACTGGCAAACTTTGTTATCTCTAGGTATATAGAATGTACTCCTTCTACCGAAAGTGACTCACCCACGTCTGCCATACAGTAACTGCTTGCGATATTCTCCAGAGTGATTGCTTGCTCACAAGGGGCACATTGAACTGCTGCGTCAAAAAAGACAAAAATGATGCATGTTTATTTATCACCAACAAAAAATGAATATCATTGATAGTGTCAGAAGCAAAAGTTGTCAACTAAATAAACTAGCCGATTATTCACAAAACTCTGAAAATATTAGAGTTATTCTAGGTAAAAATGCATACTTAAATGTCTTGTACGTTATTGGAGGAAAATCATATCTAGTGACTTAGTAACGTCGGTCGTTCCCGTCCTCTTAACTTAGAGGTCTCATCCACAGATTGGAAACCGTTAAATGCGGGTTTACATGCCGCACGGGACACATGAAATGCGCGCTTCTGAGGATACCCCAAAGGAAGGCGCAGCAGTACAATGCATTTCCGGGCCTGTAATCGCTGACTGACAGAGTCTAAATGTGATGAACTTCTACCTATAGCATTTAACTCCCCTACTACGCCTTTACAACTAGTATGCAAACCAAACCGCTTATAACGCCATCGATTAATTGGCAGCCCACCTTTAGAAAGTTCGTCGCCTGATGAGGGGTTATCCAGTAGTCTGCGCGGTAGTAACATGCAAGTCAGTGGATAGTGAGCGGCATCATATCACATTTAATGACTTACTGAAGACGATCGTTGCTGTTTCCCGTTGCTCAGTGATTTCAATCACAGTGGCGACAACCCACGTTGAGGGTTCGAGCCCCGTAGGCGTAAGATGGAATAGGCACTGCTGACGGTTCCCGAAAGGATCAAGCGGCCGTACAATGCACTTTCAGACGTGTGCTAGCTGTCCGACTATCGAACTGGGATGAAATATATCTAAACTCAAATGTGTGTCGGTAAGATTTGTACACTTACGCTTACCGTTAAGTTCTCATTAGTGTGCAGTATTGTTACACAAAGCTATGGCTTACTAACGGATAAAGCCATGTAATCGGAGACCATTAGTTTGAATTCCGTTACGGTGGCAGTAAAATTGACCGAAATTCGAAGTGCAGTCTAAAAGTATACACACGAACTAAGTACAAACTCCGGCGTCCTTCCGACTGGCGATTGTGTGCGGCCAACTGCAAATGTTTGCTTGACAGCAAGCTGTTGCGGGTGAGCTTCAATAAATGACAGCATACCAGAAAAGTTTAACAAGTGTGAGATCTGTAAGAACAAGTTCCGTTGTTTCTTGAGCTGTCGTTTCAGAATTAGTTGAGTTCAAATGTTGCGTTATTTGCTGACATCTAAAAAATGCTTTGCTTACTTTCAACCGTGAATAAACCAGACCAAACAGAGTCGAAATTAAACTGGTGAGTCTATTAGACTGCAAACCTACCAAGCTGTAAAACCAAAACACCAAATGCAATTGTTCTAAGTAACAGATCCACTGAGTTCTCTTTCCTCAGGCCACAGAAGTTTTATCGACAAGTACCGACGAACAGATTCTAGATTTTGTGTATAACTCGCTAGGCGCACTGCAGTTCACCATTTGCTTTAAACTTATTTGACCTTCTCAAGTAGAGGTAGAAAACATCGAACCTGGTTAGCTGTTTGCAAAACGCTTAAGGACTGAGTAGGGGATCATTTTCATCTTCTCGCGCAGGATGGATTGCGATGCGCACTTTCAGTGTCGGTCGTGATCCACATTGAAGTAAACCTTGGTTATTCCATCAATGGGATTGTAGATGAAGCAGGTGGAAATTGGGTGTTACCCACACAAAACCCTACGAATCACGAAGCGTTTCGATCTCATTCGGTCTCATCAGATACAGCAAGCAGACATGGAAATCGGGGCCTTTGGGATGTTAGAAGAAACCTAAGCCCTAAGTCACCTTTTGCGTATGGGCAACGCGTGTCACCATAGCTAATGACTTTTAGGAGGGGCCATGTTGAAGCACATGTTTTTTAATGAATTTCGACACACAATCTCAGAGTGGACTATGATTCTCATTAAGTTGAACTCAGGTCACTGGGACGTTAGGGAGCGTCACCCGTTGTCTTCGGCGACGGACGCAATGGCCTAATTGACCCTAGATCAACCCAATGCGAATTACAGTCCACATTGGGGTTTCGCAGCCCAATCCATTCATTAAAAAGCAGTGCAACAGAAAGAAAATTTCCATCGCTCGATGATAGGCTATGATACATTGTATTTCCACTGCTGGGATGTACGAATACTCATTTTCTGGTATTGTATCTAGCAGTGACATTTCCAGGCAAATATTCAAAGAAACAGCTGAGCCGATTTTCAAGTGAGCACATCTAGCAAATTGAGAAGACGCTCATGGTATTTTTGAAGCGCGAACAATAATTTGCTTGCTAAATTCACCCGACCAAATCATACCAACAGCTAAACCTACGCTCTTACGATACTGCACTGAAACTCTTTGAATTGCATGAACATTGAACTTGCAAGAGTGACCTTGACTTAATTGACGCTCATTTTGTATTCGAGTAAGAGAGTGTACGTGTCATAGTAGAACTGATTAAAATAGTGGTACATTTGCCATTCGTGAAATTCGTTTGTACTAATGAGCAACGAATTTGTATGGGATGAGAAACACTGCATTATAAGTCCCGTTAGATATTTTGGTGGTTTTATCGAAAAAATAATATTAAAACCGTAAGTGCTTTAAGTTTGAAAGGAAAGAGTTATCATTTCTCATGCCGTAATCCTGCAATCTGCTGAGTTTTACACCGCCCACAGATAACACCTAATACAACAACGTATATTCCAGAAGTAGAATAGAGACATAGTGGATTATTTAACCCACTTTTAAATAACTAGTTTCGGTACAGAGCCGACCGATTTAAGGAGAGCATTCTACGGAGGACACAGAAAAAATGAAAAGAAATTACTGCGAAACTCCACACGGCTATAGTGTTTTGCGATATTCAATGATTGACCTCTCAGTTTTATATTGTTGCTGAGTTGCAGGGATTTGGAGTATGCAAAAGCAAGTATGCCGTTATCATGTCATCTCGTATTATACGATACCATTCGCTGACTAATCCCGCGTAGGGGTGCGTGTCCTCGCGGTATACTCATCCCGCTTGCGGATGCTAGTGGTAGTACGGCAGCGTAGCGCTGTTACGGCGTACAGCTGACACGTTAGTCCCAGTCGTGGCAACCTCCGCTCAATTGGCAGATTGCGCATTCCAGTGACATATTTGGGTGCCCGACCTTAAGGCTGCTGCAGTGTAGTGAGTCCATCGTTCAGCGATGGATGCCAGGTTTACATTGCGGATTCGACATTAGGACGAACATACGCCCTGCGCAGCTGTCGAAAAATAAAGAGAGGTATTTGTTCGATTGCCTTTCGCACAGCCCGAAGTGTGGTTAACGAACTTTGAGGTCTTTTCGGATGGTCAGAGACAACCTAAGTCATCTGGAACTCAGATCGCGCTCAGCGGAAGATTGTTGCTCACATGTGCTCCGAACTTATATCAGTAGTTGACCTGAAAAGTACTTTGCCTTGACACGAGTTGAAATGCAGTAAATTGTGGATTGCCAGCTGAAGTACTGTGTCGAGGTCATGCTGAAGCAGATGCTGGTCAGCATTCACCAGAATCCTGCAGCAACGTTGATGTCGTCGGCAAACCGTAAAAAGTTGAAGCGAATACTTGTGCCATGACATTCATAAATACCAAAAGCAATCGTGGATCTAGAAATGGGTCTTGAGACACACCACATGCGGCTTGTACGGAGTCAAGTAAATAGTTCCAAACTCCAACCAGTAAATGCAGTTAAAGGAAAAGTTGGCGATCCAGCATAGAAGAGGGACCCCGATGCCGTAGTGCCGGAGCTTGAAAAGGAGTACCCGATGATTTAAACAATCGGATTACTTCGAAAAATTCCATATAGACCACCACAACATATTTACAGCGTCAGGCGACTCCGTCCAAATACTCCGAAGCATTAGTAACTTTACTGTACATGACCGTTGTCGAAGGACTCCGTGTTACTCGTGAGTAATAAGGTTACAATTTACCAGTTAGTATATCAATGTATCAGCAATGTTGGATTCAATGACTTTGGGAAAAGGGACAATTAACCGTATTTTGATGGTTCAGTTCTACTTCCGTCTTTGTGTATCTGCGTTATTATCCCAATTTTCCACATCGCAGGAACCTAGTTTTGGTTATATCAACGTAGAAAAATCTGAGCCAAGTGTTCTGTCAATTGGCTTTCTGCTACTCCAAGTGTATCTGAGTGAATGGTATGGACACATAGGGAGCATTTCTTGAGTAGAGATGTCAACCGTAATGTATCTTCAGTGGTAAAAGAGCTGTAGAGGAGTTCTGGCGGTAGGGAGAGAGAAGATAGAAGATTACTGGGTGATAAGACTCTGTGAAACATGGGCGCTTGTTGCATCTGCTAAGCATTTGTTGTTTCCACAGCCGTTCTTGTTGAGCGGTCAACCGTCCTGAGTGGAGAAAATCCCTGCTTCAACTTTCGTATGCCATTGAGGTGTTTGTGTACCAGTTAGTGAATAAAGCTGAAGACTTTTGCCATGCCCTGTTGAGGTGTCGTATTATCTTCTCTGAGCAGTTGAATGAAGTGGTTACGTTGGGCTACGTAGTTGTTCAAAGTTGTTGGCGTTGTAGCCAAGCTATAGACCCGCCATGCTACGTTACGTATTACCATCCATTTTGAGGTCTGTTTCCCACAAAAGAAACCGGTCCAGACCCATTGAAACCTTTGTCTCTGAATCATCTGTAGTCATCCTACTCAGTTTGTTGAGGAACTCAAGTCAGGTGACTTTTTGCAGTTCTTCGGCAAGAAATGACCAGACTATGTCGCTGACAAGCTGCACTAATTGGCCGTTGCGAGTGATGGTTCGAACAGTCTCATACTTCTCATTCCCATACTCCGTATAGCAGGCGAAGTTGAAACTGATGACTGCATGATCACTGTTACCCAACGGTCAGTCCATAACAAACACATCGATAATATGCTCCTTGTTGTTGAACACAAGATCCAGCACAGATGGCCTGTTACCTGTTCTGAACAGAGGGGGCATAGTGAATTGTGTGTT